TCTTATGAGAATAGGTTAAAAAAACAACTTATCTGAGGGACCAGTAGAATAAAGCCCTCAGGTTTCTTTATGCAGAATTTTGAAGACCATAGAAAAGAGAAGATACAAGTTTAAGATTTGAAGAAGATGGGCTAGGCTCCAGTTAAGATTATATTTTCAACACTTAAACAGGGTGATTGGCTTAAGAAGTGATTTGCTGTTGGCTGTTGTGGAGGTTGGCACCTTACAAATGAATAAAGTTTGGGTTTAACCTGGAAGGACCAAACAATTCACTAGTAATCTGTATGTTAGAATTGTATGGCTGATATTTAAAATGGAAGGAAGATGTTATTCTTAGGTATTCAGTTTTAAGAGTTTAGTAAATTCAGGACATAGGGGCTTGTATGTTGAAACTTTTTAATGTGTTTGTGTTAGTACACTATATTTGTTTTATATTTAAGGAGAAACATCTCGAATGAACTTGTTCCAGTCCATCACTAATGCTCTGGATATTGCCTTATCATCAGACACTACAGCAGGTTTGTGTTTAATAGCTATTGTATATACTTGTCAAGTTGTGTGTCTTGTATGCAGGGAAGAGTACTCAATGTGTTTTTGTTTTCCTGCCTTCAAAATCTTGTTTCTCTTCTCTACTTATTACTGGTTTACTGAAAAGCTACATTACATACAAGTTCATATTTTTTGTTTTGTTCTAGAGGACTCATTTTGTTATTTGAAGATCTTTTTTTTTTGTATTAATTTTCATGAGTGATTTGTTTAATATTATCAGTTAAACTTGTATTTGGTATAAAATATTTCAAAACTTGTCTCAAGTTGCAATTTGTAAAATTAAATACAATGATAAGGTTTTCTTAGCCATAAAAGAATGTAATATTCTACTCTACTGTTGCCTGTCATTTATAGCAAATTTATGTTTTTGTCAGGCATGCTTTAAAACATACAATTCTAGGATAGTTAAATAGATTTTAAGACATCCAAGTTTCATGGCAAAGATTATTGTAGGTCACCTACTTCTGACACCACTTTGTTACAGTCGTGTTATACTTGCCCTTTGCTTTCTTTTCCACTTCATTAAGGTTGTACTTATTCCTAACAGAAATTGACTCGTACTGATATACATAAAAATTGTTGTTTATTACTATAAACAACAACACATAGAACTAGATTTTGTTTCTTATTGGAAGCATTTCAATTCAGTCTCTAATATCTCCTGGTCTTTCCCCCTTGTTTTTGGTAAACTTTTGTCATTATATTTATTTCTTAAAAACCATGCTGAACAAATCTCTTTGTTTCTGACCTTGTATGCCTGTTTAGATTATAATGTTTCATAATCATAGGAGGTTCTGTCTTCTCCATATCACCGACAAGAAAGGCAGCCATTTTCTCTAATCATTTCCTATTGACTTAGAGTGCTGTAATCCCTTAATCTCTTTGGAACTGACCAAAAGCCAGCTTACTTCTCACCCAATAAAGTTACAAAAAATAATATACACACACAAAAAACAAATATAACTATATATATATACATACAATTTACAATAAAAGAACAAATTAACTATACAACACACAAAAATGTTGGACTTAGGTAACTGTGTAATCTGCTATGAAATTAGATGTAAAAAACATTGGTTGGAGTTGAGAGATTTTTTATTCATTTATTCAGTTGTGTTTGGAGAAGATGTTGCATTTGGGGGTGTATTTCGATGTACTGTAGGATTACAGGATAAATATGGCAAGTTGCTTCACTTATATTTGCTTTTAAACATTATTTTTTCATTCAGTACTTGCATTTACACTGTAAGCTCTAGAGTTTGTATGTCTATTTACATCACTAATGTTTTTATTTTTTTAAATAGAATCTGTTCCAAGATAGTTTCACAACAAATGTTCATATTGGTAAATACAATTTAGGATCTATTTCATTGTGTTTTTATGATATAAAACTGTTTTATTTTAATTTTCTTGTTCTATAATATACCATATCTTTATCCTTTTGTTTTACATTATCCATTTCAGTATTTATGTGTCATTAACAAGGATTGTATAGAATTTCTTAATGTTGTCTCATTAATTCAATTTTCAAATATAAAGTTATAAAAAATATCTGATCTCAATTGAGAAATTAAAACATAACAATGAGCAAGTTAACAGAAAGTTATTTGGGCCATCAAGATCATTCCCACCACATCTAAACAACTGGCCAGTGTTTCAAAACCAAAGCATTCACAGCCTTTCACAATTATTTCTCTATTATACAAAAAATTATAATTGAAACTAACAACATACACTGTGATATTAGGCAAATCATTTCAGAAATGTATGATTAATAATGAAATTTTCTCTTTTCAAAAAATGAGTAACTTGCTCTCAGAGGAGAAAATTGTCACAATTAATGTAATATTAGGAATCAGTACATTTTTTTGCCATGTGAAGCCATTAACTTGAATGTTCTTTTACGTGTGTCAAATAAGCATCACTCCTTAACTGTTGTTGTTTGGGCAAGGTGGTTAGTGTGCTCGACTCGCAATCTGAGGGTCGTGGTTTCAAATCCCCGCCCCACCAGACACATGCTCGCCCTTTCAGCTGTGGGAGCATTATAACATGACGGTCAATCCCACTATTCAGTGGTAAAAGAGTAGCGCAAGAGTTGGCAGTGGGTGGTGATGACTAGCTGCCTTCCCTTTAGTCTTTCACTGCTAAATAGGGATGGCTAGCTCAGATAGCCCTCGTGTAGCTTTGTGGGAAATTCAAAACAAACCAAACTTTAATTGTTGTTGCCAAATTTATGGTTATGTTATGGTAAGGTTAGCTATTTATCTAATATTTAACCCTTTCACTGTGGCTGGAACATATATTTCCCAGTGTACTGGGAAATGTGTCTCAGCCGCAGTGAAAGAGTTAGCATCATTTGTTGTGAATGATGCTAAAATGCTGAGGTATACGCTAGCAAATATCAATAAATAGATTTGTTCATAATATGTAGCATCTTTTATTGTGAATGATGCTAAGATGCTGAGGTTGTATGCTAGCTTCAAATGTAAGTCTCATAGTGTGTGTGTCTGTGTACCCAAATCATTTGAAAAAGAAACTCGTTTATGCACTATCGGCACTTGTGTTTAAAATTTTTTAAATAATAATAAATAATTAAAAACAATGTTTTGTATATACACAATAAAAATGTTATTGAAGCCATGCAGCTTCCACTTTAAAATAGAAATATCACTCTACACGTACATGTTTCGACATGATCTACGTCATCCTCAGGAGTAACTTACAAGACTATTTATACTTCCCCTTGTTTTTGTTCTTATTTTCCATACCATTTTGATCTTCTTCATCTTTTTCATAGATTTTTTTGAAACACATTGTATTAACATCATTCTGTGTACCTAATCACATTTTATTAACTTGTATTTCTAATTTAGCCACATACTCTACATTAACCTGTTTATTCACTCATTTTGTGTTTTCTTTCTTCTGTTTACATAGCATCCTGATTCCACAATTTTTGTTTATATGCTTTAATATTATTTCATCTGTATAAAATATACACATGCATTTGTCTGTCCAGAACTTTTCTTGCAAATTTCTTGATTGAAAGCAATAAATCTCATATTGTTAGAAAGGTCTTTGTTCGAGGAGTTCGAATTGCATATTGGCTTTTCCATTCAGAATCACCTTGTTTTTTTGCTTAGTCAAACCTTTAATGTAAAGTGTGTGCTACACAATGTGATCATCATCACATGATAACTAACTTTTTCTATTTTCAAGGTATTTCACACAAAAAACACACTATCCCACATGTAATATCCTAAATAAAAAAATGAAC